CCTTAAACTTAACCACATCTTCAAAATCCCTTTTGCTGCAGGTTGCAAGGATTACAATGAGGACAATGCGGTAGAGGAGAGGGGGGGTAGAGAGGCATAATAAAGGTCTTCACATATAAAAAATTCCAAGTCAGAAATCATTTGACATTTGATGTCAGTTTGCGGCTGCATTCTGATAGTCATGAGTCCCTTAATGATAGGGATATATTTTAAGAAATATCTTGATAGGCAATTTCACCATTGTGCCAGCACTGGAGAGTGTATGTGTCATATACATAATGCTGTTAGTGATAAGAAGTTTTTTCACAGTTGATGGCAAACTACACAAATCTAAACATCACACCTACTACACATGTAGGTCATACAGTGTAGCCTATTGAGACCACCATCATATGTAGTCCATTGTTGACCTATAAATGCTGCTAGTGTATAGCTAATGAATTATTCAAGTGCTTCAAACATCACCTAATTTACTCATTATTACTATTAATAATTATAACCATGATCTGAAAGTATAAAATAATGTACGGGTACTTTGACACTATAGTCCCAGAACACAAAAGCCCTAGACCAGGTTTCTGCCACTTTTCTTAGCAAAGAGAAATAGCTGAGTAATAACACCTTCTACTTAAATAGCACTGTATAGTTTTGCAAGAGCCCTTGCATCTATTATCTTACTTGTGCTTGACAATATCCCTAGGAGGTACATAAAATGGAGCAAGGTACATAAAATGGAGTAAGTGAGAAAACAGGACTTAGAAATGCTAAATAACCTCCTATATATTGTAAAAATGTAAACATTTCTTTCAGATGAAGTGAGATTTCAGTAAGGGGCAGGCAGAAAATAATTGATAAATGGACAATATGGAGAAAATGAACAGGTCACAATTTCAAGGGGGAAATATGATATTTAGGATATTTTTAGGGATTATATGAAGATAACAAATAGCATTTGTTGATTGGTCCGAAAGAATGTAAAGGTTAAGAGTTCACTTTGAGGAAAACCAAGGATGAAGTATTTGTTTTTCAAGGTTTTCTGCATCAAGAAGCTATACTGCCTACCTATTTCTCAGATGTACAAATAAAAAGGCACTAAAGGCATTCTGCCTGTCTGATCTTGTCCCTTTTTCTAGGGTACAGCAAGGAATGGGAGCATAAGGAGTATAAAAAGCATGCAAAAAAGCAAATCTAAACAAACCAAAGTAGGTAGAGCCAGCACCTATTGCCAACTTATTGAAAACCATACAGAAAAAGATAGTCCCAGCTTTAAAATCTACAATTCTGATTTTTTTTTCAATCATGACCTTCCCTAGGAAATCTAATTGAGAAAATGACTTCTTCATTTGCATCTACCTCACTATCTTCCTTTTTTACCTTCCAGCTCCCGTTAGGGAAACAGGGTGGTCAATCAAATATTTGAATTTATTCCTTCGCACAGGGTGTTGCCAGACTGAGTCAACAGAGCGCGGAAGAGTACCCTGGGGGGAAAAAAAACAACAACAATAATCACACAGCAGAGGGCGCTTTAGGTATATTAAGTCTATTAATCCTTTGGAATATTTATATTAAGGGCAACTGGATATTCTATGGAAAAAGAGAACAGAATTCTTGTTTAATACTATGGAGTGTATTAAAATTTAAAAAATTCAATAGTGGAAGAGAAATATCAAGATGAAAAGGATTAATGATCATTTAGTTAAGTCACATAAAAACAGTTAATGAAAATATTCAAGATTTGCCTTTGGAAACATTGGTGCAAAAGATTTTAGGGGCCTCCCCAGTGGCACAAGGGGTTAAGGCACAACCTATGAAGCAACCCGCAGCCACTGCAGCAAGAGTTTGTTCCCCAATCAGGGAGCTACCCACATGACATAGCAGACCTCTCCTGACTTGCCCACTGCTCCCCTCAGCAGTGTATTTCAGTCAGTCTGCCTGTTCTGTTCCCCATTCTGTCTCTGGTGAATCCTCTCACCCCCCACACCTCAGGCCTGTACCCCAGTTCTTGTATGCATAAATAAATAAATCTTTAAAAAAAAGATTTTAGTTTTCAAACTACAAAACTGACTTTTTAAAAAAAGATTTATTTTTATTTATTTATGCATACCAGTACTGGAGTGTAAGCCAAAGGTGCAGTGGGTTGAGAGAGAGTGGGGAGCAGAATAGGCAGAGCCGCTGAGATATGCTGCTGAGGGGAACAGCAGGCAAGACAGGAGAGGTCTGTTGTGCCATGTGGGTTAGCTCCCTGGCTGGGGATGGAACTCATGCCACAGTGGCTGGCAATAGCTTAATAGCACTGAGATTTTAACCCCTGCACCACCAGGCCATCAAACTACAAAATTAACTTTTAAATAGTTTTTAAGACAATCTGGAATACATATCTTTAATACTTAATGAACTGAATACCACAATAAGTGTTTTCAAGTACTTTATATATATGTATATACATACCTTTGGGGCTTTTATTTTTTTAGGAGGCAGTAAGTTTTCTGGACAAGGGCCAGCATTAGCTGCAGCGGTCAGAGAAAGAAGTACTTCCTGGGGGATGAACTCATTCTGAAGGGAAGTAGGAAGGGGTTTTGAATGATCCATCATATTTTTTTTCTCCCTTAGTTCAGGAAGTCCTAAGAATGTAATTGGGGAGAAAAGTTTCCTTTAGTTTTTGAAGAGTTAGTTGGGGATTCCCAGGTTGTCTCACCAATCCCACCTATATGTTTCTAATAGAGAGAAATATTGCTTCTAGTTGACATGAAGAGCAAATAATATTTAAAAGACTTGTATATCATCTAGTAGTCAAGAAAAAGAAACCCATATTGCTTGCTCTACTCACACTTATATCAGACAATGTTTCAATAACCCAGCGCTGGTATAAACTTCATTATTCCAAAATTAAACTAGGATAGCCATAAAATAATGGGAATGTCTATTTTCCTTTTGATGTGAAGTGGCAAAGGCAATCTCTCCTCAAAACTGTCAAATTATTTAGTAATTTTTTCCATATACATTCAAAAGTAAGAATAATTATATTAAATTGGAGCATTTATAGAGTGTAAGGATTCTAAGTAGGATTTACAAGAATTGAGATTGGTGAAAATGAAGAGTGGAATAATCTGAGCAAACTGGTAGAGTAAGAAAGGTACAGAGAGTTATACTTAGCTTGATTAGGGCAAAGGACTTGTAAAGGAATAGGGTTTTTCCTAATTTAGGAAAAGATCTGTAAGTCAATCAGAGTTGGGTTGTCACTCCTTTTAAAGAACTTGCACTAATCTATGCCCTTCACATAGTTTATGTTCATTTCTGTAAGGAGGCATCATTCTTTGATCGCCGTCAAAACCTCTCAAGTTCACATTACCAAATCTCTTTTAAAAGTTTAGGATACAGGGCCTCCCCGGTGGCGCAGTAGTTGAGCGCTGGGTTGCGAAGCTGCCTGCAGCCTCTGCAACCCGGGTTCAATCCCCGGCCACCAGGTAAGGGTCCCACATGGCACGCAGACCTCTCCTGCCGCCCGCTGCTCCCCTCAGCAGTGTACTTCGGTCCTTCTGCCTGTTCTGCTCCCCGCTCTGGCTCTGGTGAATTCTCTCACCCTCCCATGCGTCTGACTGTACGCAGTGCTTGTATAAATAAATAAATAAATAAATAATAAAAAAAAAAAAGTTTAGGATACAATCAGAATAGCAGAGGAAACAGAAAAATATGAAAAAGTTTGAGTGGGGATTTAGCACAATATCCCCAAACAAGATGAAAGTGAACTGGTGGAAGGTTTTGCAGTGGGAGTAGCCGATTATTCTAGGCCAGATCTGCATTTAACTGGACATGAATAAAAGTCTTCAATAAGGAATTACTTTATTTAAAATTACTAATTACTAAAACCTAGAACAAATTGGTATATGTACTAAATTTCATATCTTCCTCTTATCACCACTACTAAGTTCCTTATAGTAATAGACTAGATACCAAAAAAAGTACTGTTTCATATAACTGCTGGTATTTAAAATAGGGTGAATTTGAGATAATATAAAACTCATCTGCAATTGGGGGTAAAATTACAATCCTTAGGTGGAAAAGTGAAACATGGCTGATTCCAAAATACCATAAAAGGAATGGCTTTTTTTTTTTTTTTTAAAGATTGATTGATTTATTTATACAAGCACTGGGTACAGTCAGAAGTGCGGGAGGGTGAGAGAATTCACCAGAGCCAGAGCAGGGAACAGAACAGGCAGACTGACAAAATACACTGCTGAGGGGAGCAGTGGGCGCGGCAGGAGGGGTCTGTGCACGATGTGTGAAACCCTCGCGGTTGGCCAGGGATCAAGGCAGCGCTGCAAAGGCTGCGGGCAGCTTCGCAGCCCAGCGCTCAACCGCTGCGCCACCAGGGGAGGCCCAAAAGGAATGGCTTTTGACTGAAGGAACGGCTTTACGAAAACAAGTATATTGGGGGAAACGAAGCTAATTAAGGTATCCCAAAATCTTCGATTAAGGAAAACAGTGGATGACCTGCCGTGTGATTTCTGTCTAGAGTCAACATTATGTCTGGGACATCCCTGAAGATCTTTACCTGTCTCTTCCTTGGATACAGATTTTAATCTTTTGCCCATAGGTGTTGACGCGGAGTTTTGCAAGGTGGACGGCGTTTTCGGGGGAGACATAATAAACAATGCCTCCTATCCCTGGATCACTTTAGTAATTCGAAATATCCCTGTGGAAAGCTAACCTAGCAACAAATCAGCGGCGCACAGGTTTTGGCCGAGCGGCTACACAGTCCTGAAGGCAAAAAAGAAAAAGAAAGAAACCCGTTAAGTGCTTATGTTAAAGTCAAAGTTCACAGTTTATCTAGTATGAGTTTTCCTTCACTGAGGAGACCTCTGGGTTCTCTCAGGCCACCTGATGCGACGTCGTAGGCCGGGCCTTGGCCAAGGCCAGGACGCTCTCAGCACCCCACCCCCACCCCCGCCCCACCCCCGCCCCACCCCGAGAGCCGGTTCCCTTCGGCGGGCGCCCCTCGCTCTAGGCCGGTGGGCTCGGGTCCCGGCCTCCCCCAGCAGCGATCTCGGACCGCGTAGCTCCACCGACCAGGGGTCAGGCAGAGTTCGCGGAGTTTCTGCACAAGTGACTGAAGACGGACACTAGATACTCATACTGGTAATTTGTGTTTCCCGCCAGACATCTTGTTGCCTCGCCTTTCCCCAGAACGCCTGCCTGTTGTCATAGAAACCCAGGACCCCGCGCCTCAGCGACCCTCAATGGGGACTGTCTTCGGCGGTGCCGACGGAGGAGAAAGACACCATCCCAACAACCTATCGGGATCCGAGGTGTGTTTGTTTTTGTTTTGTTTTGTTTTTGAAGATTTATTTTTATGCATACAAGAGCTGAGGTACAGGCCTGAGGTGTGTGTGTGGGGAGGGGCGGGGTGTGAGAGGATTCACCAGAGACAGAGTGGGGAGCAGAACAGGCAGACTGACTGAAGTACACTGCTGAGGGGCGCAGCGGGTGAGACAGGAGAGGTCTGCTGTGCCATGTGGGTTGCTCCCTGGCCGGGGATCGAACTCGTGCTGCAGAGGCTGGGGATAGCTTCATAGGTTGCGTCTTAACCCTTTGAGCCACCAGGGAGGCCCTATTTTATTTTTTAAAGATGTATTTATTTATGCATACAAGAACTGGGGTACAGGCTAGAGGTGCGGTGGGCGGGGTGGGGGTGTGTGTGAGAAGACCCACCAGAGACAGAGTGGGGAACAGAACAGGCAGACTGACTGAAATCCACTGCTGAGGGGAGCAGCGGGCAAGACAGGAGTGGTCTGTTGCGCCACGTGGGTTGCTCCCTGGCCGGGGATTGAACTCGTGCTGCAGAGGCTGCGGACAGCTTCATAGGTTGTGTCTTAACCCCTTGAGCCACCAGGGAGGCCCTCCGAGGTGTTTTAAATCACAGCATGGGTTCAGTGGCAATAAATTGAGAACTAAAATATTTCATCCGTCCGTTCTCACTGAGGTAGGTGTCTTCACCTCGGGGCTGCTGCCCGCAGGCTGGAGCCAGTGCGCAGGCACCCGAAAGGCGGGGCTGGTAGCCCGCGTACCTCTGCGACTCTTGCACTTTTTCCCCTTTGGAAGAAGGGCTCCAGCTGTTTGAGCGATAGCACCCCTTAAAATTGTTTCCATGTCTCTATCCACTTTTTTCTTGTTTCACATATTTCCCTAAAAGCCAAAGTAAGGAGGAAATTGGATAATCAGAAATTCTGGGTTCCCATCAATTACGATATTATTGGGGTGCTGTCCCTCCCTGTCCTTGGCATCTTGATAGCGTGTTCCTTGGTCTGCTAAGTGCCGCCCTCTGGAGCGCGTGGAGGCATCCCTATATGGACGTTTTTTTATTGCAGACAGGGGAAGAAGTAGTGCTTTAGGCGGAGCCAACCTAAGGGAAATCGTTGGGTCTTTCTTAAAAACTTGTTCTCAGGAGAGAATATGATAAATTCATTCGTACTAAATAGCTGAGGCCCTTGACCCCTTACCGCCAGCAGGAAACATTTTGTATTAATATGGAACCATAAAGCCGGCAGAATCCCACGAGTCTAGATACACAGTTCAAGAGGGAAGAAAGCTTTTCAGCCTGACTCAGGTACCTTCAATGCATGTTTGAAAATCAGAGGGATGGTTCAATTCCTGCTGTAGTGATAACTTAAGTCTCTGGTTTCCACAGTAATAGCATTGAGAATACGTGTCGAAAACAAAGACAAAAATCTTAATGCCCTCTTTCAATTCTTGTCACCTTGGATGTCTGAGTATTTTTAGCTTTTAACCCTATTTTCCAAAAAATAAAATATAGGTAGCACACAGATAGTTATAAACTGGCAACCGCCAAAACATGCTAGGGGTGGAAGCAATGTACAAGTAGGTGGAAGGTACTCCCAAAATTTAGTGCCTTCCTCTCTCCTCACCCGTGTGACTCCAATTGGAGTTTGGAACCATGGCATGATACTGAACTTCATACGTCCCCCAAAGTTAGCTTATATACTACATAATTTACCTAGTCTTCAGGTACTGGAAGAATAAAGTAACCCATCTTTCATAGTCTTACCCTAGTTTTAAAGAACATAAGTAGGTCACTGATAGAGGAGATCAAGATAAGTAAGTAGATTCAAGATATACATAGAAAATAAAATTACAGGATTTGGGAAGGGATTGGTTCTGTGGTGTTAAAAAAAATGAAGACAACTCATTTTCTATTCTGTACAATGGTGTGATGATTATAAAAACTGTTCACTAAGAACAGGAGGAAGAACAGATTGGAATAGAGCTTTGGAGAAATTGCATTAGAATTTGCGGGCATTTTGAGATGTCTGGGTGGGAGAGGAAGGTAACTATTTGATTATATATATACTTAGGTCTGAAGCTCACAGCAACTTCGGTTAAAGTTGCAGAAGTAAATGAAGTAGTAAGCACAAGAGTAGATGAGGACAAAGACCATTACAATAAAACCATTGCTGTTGAAGAATACAATAGCTACTCTTGGAAAATTCCTTGTAATTTTGAATTTTTCCAAGGGAATCCTAAAAGGGAATAAGGAAAAATATTGGGGTCTTTGATGGAAAATACTATACCAAAATGTAACATGCAGACTGAGGTGTAACCCATGGCCCCTAAACTCACGTGCTCTGAAGGTGTCTGGCCATCCATACGCACAAAAAGAAAGCGTATTCTTAGTGTGAAAGAAATTTAATAGGGTTAATGTGCATAGAGAGAGAAGAAAGAATATTCCAAATAAAACACCCAAAGTTACCCTTCCCATGGGTAAGTGTCCTGCCAAACAGGGTGGGCTTAAAGACTGGGGGGCAATGAGGCCTGAAAATTTGCTACAAGGGAGGCACCTTCTGCCAGGGAAACATAAGAAGGGAATGAAAGGGGCCTGGCAAGTCTGGGATGAAAGGAACAAAATCAAAGTACAAATCAAGATAAAGGCTGCTGTTGTCAGCCTCCCCATTTGTCTGTCACCCACGTGTCTCTTCCATGTGTCTCCTCCAAGTCCCAAGATCCTGGTGCCAGTCTAAAGACGAGAAGGAAGCAAGCCCTTCTCCACATGCCTCTCTCTGAGCCCATCTGCCTTCCGTGCTGCAATAGCTTTGTTACTGGACGAGAGAACAGGCCCAGTGCCCATCAATCCAATCCTAACCTCCCCCACAAAACAGGCAGCTAACCTGTCAGGGTAGCTGATGTCCACTGTTCCACTTGCTGGGAGTCAGTGGGATGGACCAACGGGTCCTGCTTCCAGGCCAGGAAAGGGACCCTTTGGTCAAGGTAGAAAAGAGGACTCTGCAGACACCAGTCAGGGCAGACAAGGAGCCAGGGTTCACTGATTAGAGAAAGAGCAAGAAAAGAGCTGGGGAGACCTCTCTGGGCATGAGAAAGAGACTGAGAGGGCTTGGGGGTGAGGGTCTATGTAGGTTTTAGGACCAGGTTTTTAGACCAAAGAAATTCAATTTTATTGGCTGAAAAAGCAAGGACAGTGGACTTAGCTAAAGTCATTTGTTGTTGTTGGTTGTGAGCCCCAATCAGCTGCAGCTCGGTGGTTGTGCAGGCTTCCAGGGCCAGGTCCAAGGTGAACATCTCGAGGAGGCTGTGTGCCTGCAGCTCCAGATTGAACCAGTCTGGTCTCAAGGTCAGCAACTCCCTTTTTCTTCTGGGTCTTTTAGCTCCCCCTTTCCTCATAGCAACCAACTTGATAAGCAGTACAAACATAGCTCAGAAATGGTACCCAATGAGCCAAGGAAATTTATGGTAGCTACTGTCCCAGCCTGGAGTCATCAGTTTTTTAACCTCTTATTTCCCAGCCCATGGGAACAGGAACATTTTTGTCCTTGAGTCCTGTCCCTGTCCCTGTCCCAGGACCATTCTTGTCTCAGCTTCACCTCTCCACCCAGTTCCACCCCCTCGTTCCCAAGGCAGCTGTGCGTAAATGGTTGCAGGGAACATGGTGCCTCCTCCTTAAGTGGAGAAGTCTGTTACAAGAGCAGTGCCAATTTTCTTACATAGAAAACATCAAGACAAAATGAGTTAGCCATAGTTATAAACAGGGTTAATTTCACTCGTTGGTGTTATCTGATTGCTGTGGCAGCTTACTCAGCAGTAGTTTCCTCCAGGATTCAGGTGGACAAAACATGCTCTTAGAAGAGAGCCCATCAGTGATCACCATACAAGGCCCAAAATAGGAAAGAACAATAAACAGTGTGTGGGTATGCTTTTGCACCAATCTCGCTTTCAATTCATTTTCTAAGCATGTGGGCTGGGATTATACACACAGCTGTAAACACTGAAATAGATCAGGCAAAGTTCCCCTGAAGGAGTCTGGGTGGGAAGTAGGCCAGTACTTTTATTTAATGTGTCAAAGAATGAAGGTAGGTATCAATTAGAAATGTTTAAAAGGAGATACTGAGAAAGAAGAATCTAAGAGGTATTGCTCAAACACTTCCCAAGGAACAGTAACTTCTAGTATTGCTTCCAGGCAAGAAGGATATCCCCCAAACTGAAATGCCTCGGATTGTGGCCTTATTGTATGAGGAAGTGAGGAGCACATTTTGAGCCAGAGGGTGGTGCTGATGGCCACCTCCATGGTAGAAGTTTCACACTCTACCCCCTGAGTGGGGGCTAATGGGAAAAGCTAGTGGGGGAGGAGCTAGAGCTCTGGTAGTTAAAACCTCTGGGGGGGAAACTGTCTGTGAAGCCCCCAGCTTGCCAGGCGTGGCTTCCGCTTGGACCTCAATCGCTGCTCAACATTGCATACGCTACCGAGTTTAGGAGAGATGGTATCTGGCCTTGTGCCAGTCCATAAATTCTCTCTCCTTACTTTTCTCCTGTGTAAATAAATCCTGTTATTGTTTTTCACTGTGTCTGCTGTTAGGTCACATCCTTAAGGACGGACATGGATGAGGACCCACCAACCTCAGGCTTGACCCATTTCAGTATGTCATTATTTATCTAAGAACCTTCATGATTCCACATGGGAAGGACTATGCTTATGCCTTGTTCACCATTCCATCATCAGATATAGCATAGTGCCTGATAAATAGCGCTGATGTTTACAGTCACTTTATCTTTCTTATTATACAGGGCTTTACAGAGAAAATTCAGTGACCGGGATAACTTGAGTATGCCGCTCCACGTGTTTCTCATAGTGTATTTACAAACGGGTGCTACAGTTTTATAAATTAGATTTAAGAACTTAATATGGGTCCAAATACAATCTAAGCCTAAAAGAAAAGGAACCTAAACTTTTAACTCAACCTAGTTATGTTACTATTATGAGATTTTTTGGAGGAAGCAACTTATCTTACTTCAAAATCAGTTTCCCCAGCCTTATCTAAAAAGGCAGACTTCCTCTCGCCAACAGACTTTCACCTTTCATTAGAAATCAAAGTACATTTCTACACCTGGAGATAGTATGTGTGTGTTTTCAGAAACACCCATTCACAAATTTTAAAAGGTCAACAGCAAGATCACAAAGATAGACAAAGAACTCACATGATTCAACAAGCACAAAGTAAACAATCCAGTCAAGAAATAGGCAGAGGAATTTAAAGGACACTTCTCCAAAGAGGAAATACAAATGGCCAACAGGCATATGAAAAATGTTCAACATCCCTTATAATCAGGGAAATGCAAATCAAAACCACAATGAGCCACCACTTTACACCAGTAAGAATGGCTCATATTAAAGATATTACACCAGTAAGATATTACATATTAAAAGATATTACATCAGTAAGAATGGCGCATATTAAAAAAAATAGCGACAATGAATGTTGGCGAGGATGTGGAGAAAAAGGAACTCTCCTACACTGATGGTAGGAGTGCAAACTGGTCCAACCACTATGGAAAGCTGTCTGGAGGTTCCTCAGTCTACTAAAAATGGAGCTACCATATGACCCAGCAATTCTACTCCTAGGGATCTATCCAAAGGACACAAAAACATTGATTAAAAAGAATACCTGTACCCCTATGTTTATTGCAGCACTAATTATAATAGATAAAACCTGGAAATAACCCAAGGCCCAAAAATAGAAGACTGGATCAAGATGTGGCATATATATATATATATATATATATATATATATATATATATACACAATGGAATATTACTCAGCAATCAAAAAGATAAACTCATGCCATTCACAGGAACATGGATGGAGCTAGAAGGAATTATGCTCAGTGAATTAAGTCAGAAGGAAAAAGAAAAATAGCAGATGGTTTCACTTATAGCAGGGATATAGGGGAACCAAATAAGACATCAGGGGAAAAAAAATAACAAAACACAACATAACAAAAACAAACAATTATAAACCAGAGATATCCTGTAGGGGAGGAGAAGGGAGAGGGATCAGAGGGAGGGAAGGAGAGAGGAGCACAGGGGACTGAGGTGATGGTGCACGGGTGAATTGGTGAAGGAAATTCTATGGGGACTACACCTGAGGGATGGAGCAAACATTATTTAAAAATGAACAATGATGTAAAATATATATATAAAATAAATTTAGAAAAACAAAAATAAAAAAATAAAAGGTCAACAGCAAAAGGAATGAAGCAATGAGCTTACATCAGAGTATAGGTTTGAGTAGGGTTTTTTTTTTTTCATGCAAAGTTACAACTGGGCCCTGTTATTTATTTCATTGTAACCGGGATCATGGCCCCTCTCCATTTTCCAGGGCAGTAAAATTCAATCCAGTTATTTGTATTCTCTTTGACTATATTCACATATAAAGATGAACATGAAATATAGCTAATATATAGTAATATTAAATAAATTTGAAGTTATTTTTAAAAAATAATAGGTTCTCCCCAAATATATTTGTCACTTCTTTATGTGCAAGATATTTTTTGTGTATATATTTTTAGTTCAATTTTAAGCTAAAGTTAATACAGTGCACATTATACAAAGTGATAGTACAGGTGATTAGACAAACAAGGATGGGGGATAGGAATTCAGGGAAAGAAGAAACAAAAAGGAGGAAAAACATCTATAATTATAGAAAGTCCCTTAAAACAATCAGGTTTACACTACACAGAGCTGTGTGGAGATTTCTTGACCTACTAAAGATAGAGCTTCCATATGATCCAGGAATTCCACTCCTAGGTATTTACCCAAATAACACAGAAACATTAATTCCAAAGGGCACCTGCACCTCTATGTTTATAGCAGCAATATTTACAATAGCTAAGCTTTGGAAACAACCCAAATGCCCAAAAATAGATGACTGGATCAAGAAGATGTGGTGCATATACACAATGGAATATTACTCAGCAATCAAAAAAGATAAACATATGCAGTTTGCAGCGGCTGGAGCTAGAAGGGATCATGCTCAGAGAAGTAAGTCAGAAAGAAAAAGAAAAATACCCAATGGTCTCACTCACAGCAGGGATTTAGAAAACCTAACTAAGGGACCACGAAAAAGACTAACTAATACAAAGTAAAAATCAAAATCAACAAGCAACTATAAACCAGAGACACACTACGTGGGGTGGGGAGCAGGGAGAAGAAGGACTAGGGTCAAAATAAGGGGGGGGGTACAATTGTATGGGGAATATAACCAAAATGAAAAGCATACATTGTGCAAAAATGAAAAATGATGTAAGAATTATATAAAATATTAAAAAAAAAACCCAACTAACTCAGGAAAAAAATAATCAGGTTTACACGATGTTTCTGAAGCTCTCAGAACACTACAGACTTAATGCACAAACTGTAAGAGACACAAGAGGCTGTGGCACTGGCCTACATGGCAGAACATTGGCTGGGACTTGAACTCTTCCCACCCTTCCAAATTGGCATTTCTACATGGTAACTCAAACTATCTCTAAACACGTGGGTGCACCAACTACCTCATCTTTCAAAGGTATTTGAAACAGAGAAAATACGCCTACTACTTCATTAAAACCAACAAAAGACCATCACGAAGAGATGAAGTATTTGTGAGCTTAAAGGTTAGCCTCTCTGGGGAAGGGCATGCTGACAGAAGAGAGGAGGGAAGAAGCACTAAGAAAAAAAAATACAGAGGCAGTTTCAGATTTTTTACAAGTATATCACTTCGAAAATTAACTGTTTCACTTTTATGTGGAACAGAGAAAGAAAAAAAAAAAAAGGTCAGCTATCAACAGAATCAAACCAGTAACAAACCCTACAAGTCTCACTATAGAACTGAGCCTACCAGAGAGGGCCAGGAAGGGGGAAGAGCAGTGTGTGGAGGCCCCTTGGACTATGAGTGCCTAGCTGGTGGCTGTGGTATGTGGTAACATACATCTGAAGAGGCTGACACTACACCTCATGTAGAGTAATCATATCATGGTGTAAGCCAATATTCCCTCAATTAAAAAAAAAGACTAAATAGGGAACACTAATTGGGTTAAATTAGTTCAAAAAAGCATTTTTCTGGTAATACTGATACTTGGGCCTTTCCAGTGACTTTTTTCCTATTTATGGGTTATTCTTTTCCTTTTTTTTTTTTTTTTAAAGATTTATTTATTTATGCATACAAGAACTGGGGTACAGGCCAGAGGTGCAGGGGGTGAGAGGATTCACCAGAGACAGGGCAGGGAGCAGAACAGGCAAATCTACTGAAATACACTGCTGAGGGGAGCAGCAGGCAAGATAGGAGAGGTCTGCTGCACCATGTGGGATCAAACTTGCTGCAGAGGTTGCAGATAGCTTCAAGGTGCTGTGCTTTACTGCTTGCGCCACCAGGGAGGCCCTATGGGTCATTCTTTCTTTTCATATCTAGTAATTTTTTGTTGAAAATTGGACATTTTAGACCTTTAGAGTGTAATAAATCTGGATTCTATTTCACAGGGGGGTGGGTGGGGGGGAATAAAATCAGTCTGACTCTCCTATCCAAATTAGCTGTTAGAATGTGCTTCTATTCAGAGGAAAATAAAAGGAAACAATAATTAAGGATTTAGTAGTTATTGATTTTCAAACTGGGTTTTATTATTTATTTATTTTAAGATTTATTTTATTTATACAGTAGCTGGGGTACAGGTCAGATGTGCGGGAGGGTGAGAGGATTTACCAGACACAGAGCAGGAAGCAGAACAGGCAGACGGACCGAAAACACTGCTGAGGGGAGCAGTGGGCGAGACAGGAGAGGTCTGCTGCACCATGTGGGAATCTCCCTGGCTAGCTGGGAATCAAACCTGCCTCTGCAGCGCTGCACTCAAATCGCTGCGCCACTGGGGAGGACCCAAACTGGGTTTTAAATTTAGGGTAGAGAAGAGCATGGGGTACCGTGTGACAAGGGCTCCACTCTGCCTGTTTTAACCAGAGTGGCCTTATTTTATTTCCTTTATAAACTGGGTTCAAACACTCACAGGACTTGGCGATGTCAGAAACTAACCAGTTACTTGTCTAAGCTTCACTAACTGTATTCATTGTACTCCTCAAAACATTAATGTCCTAGCCCTTTCAATTTCTAACCAATAAAAATAAAACCCAGAGAGAACTAAGTGTCCAAGACAGATTTTTCCTTGATAGTATATACATGCTGTATTATATAAATGACTTAATTTACACTAAATTTTGCACAAGATTAGTAAGCAAGTCACTTGAACTTTATTAATGAAAGGATGAACTCTCTTCCATTAAGAAAGTTATTCTACTTTCCATGATTATATGCACCCCTTACACTGGCAGAAGGTCTCATTAGTTTTCTTCTCTATAAATTCTAAAACTTAAGTATACACACTGAACATTTGGCTTAAATACCTAGGTAAAAGCAGAAATGCATTTCTTTTCATAGCTTAACATCCTATCCCAGTGCTAAACAGACAAATCCAAAAGTAGTATTGGAGAGGTGGAAACGACCAGTGCCTTTAACAATCCTGTTAAATTCTTGCCAGTTTCATTATAAGTGAGCCTAGGTGCAATACCAATTCACATTATTCAGAGACTATTTTAAAGAAAACCATACATTCTTGGAAACTGTAGCATTTGAAACATTAACATTGTTAAAGAATCCCCATGAGTTAGTAATGATGATTTATGTTTAGAATTTACGGAAGATTAATAATGAGGCTCTATTTTTGCAGGGTTGGTGCTTTACAACTATCCTATGAGGTAGTTATTGACCGAAAATGTATATACCAATCAAAAGAGCTCCGGGTCCCTACTCCCATCTCAACCAGAAGCCACACTTATGTTTTATGTTTTACATGCTTGGGCTTAATATGCTTGGGCATATTTTTTTAGTATGGCTTCATAACTGAAACATTAAACTACTGCACTATACCAGACCACCTAGTTGCTTTAGTTATTAGTTTACTGTCATTTCCCCCACACAAAGCAATGAAATTTACTCAAAATTACTTAAAACACATTTATCTCTGCATAAAAGACCTCAATAATTTATAAATGACACCTTTTATAAATTTAGCCCATGTGACTTTTTTTAAACACAACTTTTCAAGTTTTCTATAAAACCTTTGAGATTCAATTTTTCAAGCAAGTAAATTTTTAAATTATGCTAAAATTGTCTATACCAAATGATTTACTCTCTAAGATGATCTGTGTTTGCAAATAAAGAACAGTTACACATGATTTTTTTTTTTTTTAATAAATTTTATTGTTATATTCCCCATACAATTGCAGCCCCCCCATTCTGACCCCAATCCCTCCCCTCCCACCCCCGCCCCCCTAAAAGTGTCTCTGGTTCATAGTTTTTTGTTGATTTTGATTTTCACTTTCTTATAGTTATTCATTTTCCTGGTCCCTTATTTAAGTTTTCTAGATTCCTGCTATGAGTGAGACCATCCGGTATTTTTCTTTTTCTTTCTGGCTTATTTCGCTGAGCATGATCCCTTCCAGCGCCATCCATGTTGCTGCAAATTGCATGTGTTTATCTTTTTTGAATGCTGAGTAATATTCCATGGTGTATATGTACCACATCTTCTTGATCCAGTCATCTATTTTTGGGCATTTGGGTTGTTTCCAAAGCTTAGCTATTGTAAATAGTGCTGCTATAAACATAGGGGTGCAGGTGTTCTTTGGAATTGATGTTTCTGTGTCCTTTGGGTAAATACCTAGGAGTGGAATTGCTGGATCATATGGAAGCTCTATGTTTAGTAGGTCCAGAAATCTCCATACAGCTTTCCACAGTGGTTGGACCAGTTTGCACTCCCACCAACAGTGCAGAAGAGTTCCTTTTTCTCCACACCCTCGCCAACATTTGTTGTTGCTAGTTTTTTTAATATGTGCCATTCTCACTGGTGTAAGATGGTATCTCATGGTAGTTTTGATTTGCATTTCCCTGATGACAAGTGATGTTGAACATTTTTTCATATGCCTGTTGGCCATTTGCATTTCCTCTTCAGAGAAGTTTCTTTTAAGCTCTTCTGCCCATTTTTGACTGGATTATTTTCTTTGTTGTTGTTGAGTCTCATCAGCTCTTTGCAGATTTTTGTGATCAGTCCTTTATCATTAGTGTTGGGTGCAAAAATGTTCTCCCAGTTGGTGGGGTTTCTCTTTGTTTTTGTTATTGTCTCTTTTGCTGTGCAAAAGCTCTTTAATTTGATGTAGTCCCAGCTGTTTATCTTTGCCTTCACTATCACTGCTTTGGGTGATGTGTCTGTAAAGATGTCTTTGATGTGCAAATCACGTAGTGTTTCGCCTATATTTCCTTCTATATATTTTATGGTTTCAGGTCTTATGTCTAGTTCTTTAATCCATTTTGAGTTGATTTTTGTGTATGGTGTGAGGTGGTGGTCAAGCTTCATTCTTTTGCATGTAGCGACCCAGTTTTCCCAGCACCATTTATTGAACAAACTTTCTTTGCTCCAATGCATATTCTTTGCTCCTTTGTCAAAGATTAGTTGACCATAAATCTGTGGGTTTATTTCTGGATTTTCTATTCGATTCCATTGGTCTGTATGTCTGTTCTTGTTCCAGTACCATGCAGTTTTGATGATTATGGCTTTGTAGTATAGTTTGAAGTCTGGGAGTCTGATGCCTCCATTCCCTTCTTTTTTTTCAGGAGAGCTTTGGCTATTCGGGTTTTTGGTGATTCCATATGAATTTCATCAATAATTGTTCTATTTCTTTGAAGAATGACATTGAAATTTTGATTGGAATAGCATTGAATCTGTATATTGCTTTTGGTAGGATGGCCATTTTAATAATGTTTATTCTTCCAATCCATGAGCAGGGGACGTCTCTCCATTTCTTTGTGTCTTCTTCTATTTCTTTTAACAGTGTTTTATAGTTTTCTTTGTATAGGTCCTTTACCTCTTTTGTTAGATTCCCAAATATTTGATTTTTTTTGTTTCAATAACAAAAGGGATGGTCTTTTTGATTTCTTCTTCTTCAGATTTATTGTTTGTGTATAGGAAGGCTACTGACTTTTGCGTGTTGATTTTGTATCCTGCCACTTTACTGAACTGATTGATGAGTTGAATTAGCTTTTCTGTGGAGTTTTTGGGGTTCTCTATGTATAATATCATATCATCTGCAAATAGTGATAGTTTGACTTCTTCTTTTCCTATTTGGATTCCTTGGATGTCTTTCTCTTGTCTTATTGCCCTGGCTAGGACTTCCAGTATTATATTGAAAAGCAATGGTGAGAGTGGACATCCTTGTCTTGTTCCAGATCTTAATGGAATTGCTTTCAGCTTTTCACCATTGAGAATGATACTGGCTGTTGGCTTGTCATAGATGGCCTTTATGATGTTGAGGTATGTTCCTTGTATCCCCAGAATTTCAAGGGCTTTTATCATGAATGGGTGTTGCACTTTGTCGAAAGCTTTCTCAGCATCTATTGATATTATCATATGGTTTTTATATTTCTTTTTGTTGATGTGTTGGATAACGTTGATTGATTTTCGGATGTTAAACCATCCTTGTGCCCCTGGAATGAATCCAACTTGGTCGTGGTGAATTATCTTATGGATACATTGTTGGATTCTGATAGCTAAAATTTTATTGAGGATTTTTGCATCAGTGTTCATTAGGGAGATTGGCCTGTAGTTTTCCTTTTTTGTGTTGTCCTTGTTCGGTTTTGGTATTAGTGTAATGTTGGCTTCATAAAACGTGTTTGGTATTGTCCCTTCCTTCTCAATTTTTTGGAAGAGTTTGTGAAGGATAGGCACTAATTCGTCTCTGAATGTTTGGTAGAATTCATTTGTAAATCCATCAGGTCCTGGGCTTTTGTTTTTGGGGAGGTTTTTTATTACCATTTCAATTTCGCTAATTGTAATTGGTCTGTTTAGGTGTTCTATTTCTTCTTTATCTAGCTTTGGGTGATTGTAGAGTTGTAGGAATTTGTCCATCTCCTCTAGATTGTTAAACTTGTTTCCATATAACTGTTCATAGTAGTTACTGATTATTCTTTTGATTTCTGCTGTGTCCGTTGTGATTTCTCCTCTTTCATTGATGATCCTGTTTATTTGTGCTTTCTCCCTTTTTTCCTTTGTGAGCCTGGCTAGGGGTTTGTCTATTTTATTTATTTTTTCAAAGAACCAGCTCTTGGTTTCATTGATCTTTTGGATTGTTTTTTTAGTTTCAATTTCATTTATTTCTGCTTTGGTTTTTATTATTTCTTTTCTTCTACTGGTTTTGGGGTTTTTTTGTTGTTCTTTTTCTAGATCTTTGAGCTTCGAGATGAGGTTGTTTCTTTGCGTTCTTTCTTGTTTCTTGATGTGAGCTTCTATTGCTATATATTTTCCTCTTATTACTGCTTTTGCTGCATCCCATACATTTAGGATATTAGTGTCCTCCTTGTCGTTCAATTCAAAAAATTTTTTAATTTCTTCTTTGATCTCCTCATTAGTCCAATGGTCTTCCAGTAGTGTGGTTTTTAATCTCCATGAGGTAGGAAAGTTCCTTGCCTTCTTTTTATGGTTTATTTCTAGTTTGATGCCTTCATGGTCAGAAAAGATGGTTGATATGATTTCAATCTTGGTGTATCTGTTGATGTTTGTCTTGTGCCCCAGTATGTGATCGATCCTGGAGAATGATCCGTGTGCGCTTGAGAAAAATGTGTACTCCGTTTTTTTGGGGTTTAGTGTTCTATAGATGTCTGTTAAGCCTAATTGCTCTAGGTCCTTATTTAGAGCTTTGGTTTCTTTACTTATTTTTTGTCTTGTTGATCTATCCATTGTTGATAGTGGTGTGTTGAAGTCTCCCACTACGTATGTGTTTTCTCTGATGTCTGTTTTCAGAGAGGACAATAGTTGTACACATGATTTTTTTTACCTGACAATATCACCCACATTTAACTTTGCAATCATTGAAAAAGGAAGTAACATTTCCCCCACTCCTGATTCCAAATATTATGTATCGACAGGTGAAAAGCAGCTTCAATTTTCAAATTAAATTATGAAGCAAGCAACTTGACACTCAGACAACCACCATAGATTAATCCACCACAAGCAAAATTAAACTCCATTTTGCATCATTATCCAGGATTGAGAATAATAAATCTATGACATTTCTAACAAATTTATGACAAAGTTAAGAGATTTTAGTTTTTCTCTTGGGTAATAAACCAAAATAATGGTTACTCTCATTACTTTTTCCAGGACAGAAATTCTATATTTACTACTTTTCAGAAGGAAAAAGTACCATACTATAAATGAAAATAATTTTCATCTCTATTTGCAAATGAGGATAAATAAATCTTCCCGAAACAAATTTAGTAAGAGGTTTCTGTTTCATTTTTTGTTTATTTAAAGAGTAGGTAGTAGTGGTTTAAAGAAAAGACTTTTGCTAAAAGCAGCTAGAAGTAAGACCATGGCTATGAAATTAGATTCTTTCACAGAAAGTGTTTTTTTTTAAGTGTGTCAGAAATTTTCTTAGGTCAGTCTTAGCATTCTAAGACTTTAGTAATACATATGTCATTTGTTGTCACTTAAAAATCCTGGACAGAAGAAATCACTAATAAACACAGAAGATGAGTTTTTTTCTTAAATAGCCTTGATCAGTACAACAAATATAAGCATATTCAGCAACAGTACAAAGAAAGGAAGTCTTCTCAGTAAAACAGTGTATATATTTACAGTACTTAACAGCTATAAGAATTCCATTCTCATTAATAGATTGACTCACTCATCTGTCATAAACCTGTTTTTCTCAGATTCTTCATTAAATTTAAAATTTAATTAAATTCAAGTCACTGACTCTTTTTGATTCTATTAAAAAGCCAGAAATTACAAGCTATATTAAAGCAGTTAGTTGAAAGTTGTAGTTGCCTTACAGTATAACAGAACATTACTGCTTGGGAATGCATGGAACACCATTTTTTAAAAAATAATCTCCTGTGAGGTGCACTTTTATCTGTTGAAGTTGGATTTGATGTTTGAAAACTACCCAAACTCATCTGCATCAAAGATATGAGGAAAATAATGTCTGACTAAGCAGGGTTCAAATTGTGACTATGAAGAAACCCTGGTTACCTATCTGTCAGACTCACACTGACTTTAAAACAATTCAAAAAAGATTTCCCAAAACTTCGGAATAGCAGTAGAGCTGTTAGAATACCAGTATAGCCTCCCAAGTGGGCTATTCCAACTTACAACAAGCATTTGGATAAAAGTCTCATTTGTGGGATGGAAAGTTGAACTACATGGCCTCTGATATCGCTTCCAATGCTCAGCCTTTACAAACATAATTATATGTCATATATACAAACAAAATAATTTCTACATACCACATTGTGCTACCAATGGGTATCTTATAATATGGGAACATTACATAAAAGAGTACATTTTCTTGAAAATAATCACCTACTAATTTGGTTCACAGAAAATTATACTACCATTAACGTGTTAAGAATTGAGCGAATGCAGAAGCCAGCTTCTGGATATTTAATTATTTTAATTATTAATGGAGCTGATTAATACTGATGTTACAGACTTTGTAGCCTATAAAATAATTCAAGCTAGTATTTATTAGACAATAAAACAACTGCACCAAAGGATACTTGTAAAAGTATCTTTAATGCCTTAAAATTTAAACAAAATACCTCCACACAAATTTCAAGATATATTAATTTAAATGCATGATTGACTCTAAGTCTATTTAAAAATTACTTTGGAAGTTAGAAGGGAAAATATTTTTCTTTATCCTCTGCTAATTCTTTTTATTTTTCTCCTTTCTGTTTCCTTCAATATGTAATACGGTTGCCAACTAGAAGGATTCAAAGTAAAAGGCATATTTTTGCCTGACAGAAAGTGTGCCTATTGTATGGGAAAATCAAGTCAATAATTGAAAACTGCACTTTTTACCAAAAAAAATAGTAATAATAGTAATAATAAAAATTAGCATAACAAAATTACCTTTGGAAATAGGTATTTTGTCTCTTCCTACTAGAAATAGCAAAACATGACAAATTATTTTCTTTTCTTTTCCAATTGCATGGTTGATTGGCAAATAGTTTAACAATATGCATTATGTTTCTAAGCCAGAGATTACTACAATGATTTCTTCACATGTTTTGACTAATTCAGTGGCCACAAAAATATGTTTTGTCTCCAATTACATGGAGTAAAGAAACAAAACAAAACTAAGGCTTAAGCCAATATGACCCCACAAAAATCTGTCATTATGTCAGTTATAAGTCTGTGGTATCCCAAAAAAGAGTACTGCTTAAGAGTACTGCTTAAGTGTACTAGATTCTGGTGAACTTCCAATAGTTCGGGCTTTAGGTGACCTAGGAATGGAGTAAACCATTTGTAATGGCCGGAGTGGTCCAAGTAACACAGGTAACTTCAGTAACAGCTGGAAACAGATGCTGGCCCCAGAGCCGGCAGAATATCCAATCTTCAGTGTCAAGGAAGGAACAAAATCCAAGTTTCTAAAACACGTAACGACACGTCCAGGAACGTGGCCGGATATAATCCAGAAATGAGGGCTTCAAGAGGAAAATAAAAAGAATGAAAAAAAAGTTTATTTGTGTGTACAATGTATGAGGCAGCAGGGTGTTAATGTATGTTCTGTACATCTCTAAAATGTCTCCTATCATTTCAGTAACCATTATGCTATAAACACTTCACTAATTCAAAACAAGTTCATTATTTTATCTACAGTCAGATTCACTTGATTTGGAAGCTTAAATAAAGCTTTTAAAGTCTAGTCAATGTGGGCCTCCCCTGGTGGCGCAGCGGTTGAGCGCTGGGTTGAGAGGCTGCCTGCAGCCTCTGTAGCACCAGTTCGATCCCCGGCCACTGGCAAGGGTCCCACAAAAAAAAAAGAAAAAGTCTAGTCAATGCTACACAATTGCATGGCCTCTGACCAAATTCAAGATACTCTTTCATTTTATATCTTGCATTTTATTTTCACACATCTTGACTGTGAGTAGCCTAAAATCTAACCAGTGGTAGGTTATGGACAATAAAATACATAGACACAACAGAGAAATACACACACACACACACACAAACTACTATAATTCAAGCTTTAAAATTAGTGCTTTATTTGAGGAATGGATGAGATACTCTGAAATAGGAAAAGAGACCAGAATGAGAATTTCAAAAAGCTTCATGCAAGCTGCTGCATCCAAACTGGATCTTGACAAAATTAAATCTCACAGGTGGAAGCTGAGTATGGAGAATGGTGTTCATTTTTAGAGACAGAATGCAGAGAATTTCAAATACACAAGGGGGATAAAGAAGAAATAAGGAGGGAGCATTAGGGCAGCATAATAAAAACAAGGTGGAGAGCCAGCTGAAGCTTTGGGGAAGAAACTGATTAACTTGATTGTGGGCATACGTAGTTATTGGTACCTGTGGAGATATAGTATTTGGGAGTTACCCATATTCAGTTAAAAGCTAAAATCCTAAGAATGAGACTTGGCTAATTATGAAAAAGAAAAAAACGATGACAGAATCACGGGAAGTGGGATCGTAGGCATGAGAGTGGCTGAACATTCATACAGTTTATTACAGTAGGAAAGAAGAGGAAAAATGAGTGTTGTTAGGTAGTGGTGGGGGGGTACATAAGTCATTGGGGAAGACCCTGTGAATACCCTAATTTTAAGGACACAGGAAGAAAAACAGAAGGAACTGAAGAAAAAGCAATAAAGACAAAAAGAAAACCAAGAGCTGGGCAGTTCAGGGTGAGGAAAACCAAAGGGGAAAAAAATTTTTTTAGCGTAGTGTCCACTACTCTCCTTCCCACCACCGCCCACATTCCAAGGACAAATGGGTCACTTTCCTACCCCACTCTGACTAAGGACTCACATTTTTCAGAGGACAGTGCTGACGTGCATACCACTCTTGAGAATATAAGCACAGGAGGACGCCATGGCCAGCGAAAAGTGAGGTCCACATCATAACATTCCAAATTGGCCTTTTCCGACTATCATTGACAATGAAGTTGAAAGTCACTAAAGTTAGAAAGGTAACAACAAAAAAAGCACAGCTATCAAAATGTGACCTATCAGGAGATAAGGGCCTCAGATATCTACTGTAAGATTTTATTCACCCCAGTGAGCATCAACTGTTTGCATACATGTTTCACCCCAGTCACTGGTCTCATAAATAAAAGCTAAAGTGTTGGAATTTACAAATCAGTAATTGGAAATCAGGACGTAGTCAGAACAGGTGAAAAATTATTTCATGGAATCATTTAAATTCTAACTTGTTCCTCTCCACCCACTCTAAAAAGGGTCATTCTCTCCGCCCCTCCCCATATGAACACTAAAAAAGCTTAAGAATTAGGGGAGTTGTTTATAGTTTTATTATAACCTAGCAATGACCACTGATCAATGTTATCAGTACTTTTTAAGAGGTTATTCAGTAGTCTCTACTTCAAAGAATAAGCACCTTGAAACAGATTTGTGGGTAATCACTCACAACCAATGTGTCATCAGATATATCTGCTAAATGCTACTTCCTACCAAGTATCTACATTCTACACTCTACAGTGATTTTATTACTTTCATTTTCTGAATTTTCTCTTTTATCATAGTACTCATGGCATGCCACGATACTTACTTCCAAAGAACATGAACAGGACAAAGAGCACGGGATAGAAGAAGCTCAAGCTAAGGGCCATGGCATATTCGTGTACTACAGCAGACACAGCAAAGACAGCTAACATCGCAGCTGATTTGAATTTCTTAGTGAATAACTAGGGTAAATGAAAATATTTTAAAAAGCACTTATTTAGTTATTGTTATATTTGATTTTCCAAATGTGTTCTTTGTATTACAATAATTACAAAATACATCTATGCATGTAAATTCTTATTTTACTAAAATGAGGCACTTCAAAAACAATGTAAAAAGATCTGGGCATATTTCCAAAAACATTAACTTATACTTTAAAGTCACTAGGGTTGACTACAACATAGTTTTCATATAATAACACCTCGAATTTCAATCTTCCAAGCATTATCCTCTCTGGAATTACAAGTAACAAAACTAAGATTTAGAAAGAAGGGGCTTGTCTCTCCATAAGTGAAACTACACTTATAAACAAAAGAACACCAAATAAGGTGCTATTTGCACCACAACATACTGTCACTTACTTATATAGTGTCTTTTTTTTTTCTTTCCATAAGAACCTTTACATTTTAATGAGGCACATATAAAATCAAATACTTGAATATGATGACAACATCATACTACATTGCCAAGAAGGTTATGAAATGTATATTGACACTATTGTCAAAAACAAATTTAAAAATAGTGTCTTATTGTAATGGGTGGCTGAAGCCAAGGGCTGTTACCGGTGGTGCCCCCTAAAGGGGGGGCTGCTGGTGAAGATAGACAACCCCAGGGAAAATGCTAAAAAGAATCACATTTTGGGAGTGGAGGGACTAATAAGTAATATAAGGGACTGCAGCATGGGGTGCAAATGGATTCAGTCTTTGGGATTTAGTGGTTCTCGGATCTTCAGCATTTGGTGTCAGTGATTTTGGTCCCCACCGAGCCGATCTTCCAGAGTCTGTTGTAGGCCTCTGAATGTGGAGAGGTCTACAGCAGCCAACCTCAGAGAGGGAAATTTCGGAAGCTTTTTAAGTATCTGAGCGACTGAAACTGTTCCTTGTTTTGCTGCTGTTACAGCCTGGCAGAGACGGCGAAGACCCAGAGATGGAGTGGAGTGCCTCAATGAGCTGCCTGAGTGTGGCTGTTTGCTGGGTCATTCAGTCGCTGCAACTGCTATCTTGAGTGTTGCTAGTATGGTGTTATGCTGGGGTATCCAGGCAGCTCCGGGAGCATCTCCTGTTGTGTCTTCTGCTGTCTTCGTGAGTTGGAACCTGGCCTAGAGTTTGGCTGCTGCATGCTTCAGGTCGGCAGAGGCAGGAAGACACCATCTTAGCTGCTTTTGTTTAGGACAGAAAAACACTGGACACTGCTTTGGTGAGGTAAAAGGCCATTTTTGGCCTTAGTAACTCTTTGTTTTTCCGTGGTTTGTTAAATAAATCCCATTGTTGTGGTTCGCAGAGCCTGAGCAGTCTTGCAATTGTGTGTGTGGGTGAAGAACTCAGACAGTGACTAGTAAACTATTTGGGTAGTGTCCTTGGCCAGTTTTAGTGCCCCCTGCTGCCCTGCATCACTACTTAACAATAAAAATCAGCAATCTAGAGATAACAGCATTAATCAACCATGAGAGTCAAGATTACATTTCACTGCTGTACATATATTCTGTTCTAAAGAATGTAGAATGCCACAATGACACTTTATCCTCTTGGAGAGACATAAGCTCACACGTAGGTGTTCCACCATTTTAACAAAGAAACAAAAAGCAAAAAAGAAAAACATGAAAGAAGCCAGAGAAAGATTATTTGTTGGTAATGCTGGATTATTTCAACTCCTCCAAATGTCTCTATGTATTTTTCACTTTGGAATCATGTCAAGTAAAATCCAAAACAAAAACATGGCATCTGGCCTAGTAACTGTGCACAATGGTCTCTGAGCAGTACTATTCAAAGAAGAATAGATTTCTTAGGCATAAGTGGCTTACAAGACAATTAAAGGCAGCTAAGTATAAATTTTTGTAGCTGCCCAATACTAATGCTTTCTGGAAAAGGACCACCATTTCTTGAACAGTATCAATTAAATCTTGCTACTTACCCAAAGAAAGTCCTTGTAAGCATAATAATAGAGCCAGTCATGCACCACCACATTCCAGGTCCTGTAATAATTAGCATATGATGTGGAGTTCCACCAATCCTGAGGGAAAAAGGAAACATGTAAAACTATAAACATATACATACAAAGCTACATACACACACAAAAGCCAAAGCAACCCCTGAATATTTCTAAAGATGACACACATGTAACAGTGTGTGTGATGATAAAGTGTGTCATGATAAAGTTAGCTTATACAATTCATGTCTGAAAAACTTTCAAAGCACTTTGATTATTAGTGTTTGATATGGCATTAATTCTAGTTCCGTTTATGATTAAGTCTTTAGTTCATTTTGTCTCACTATCAAACAAGTTATGATGGAAGATGCAGAACATACATTAAATGTAATACAATCAAATGAAATGTACATCTAAATAGCCATCAGCAAACTTGCCTTCCCTTGCTAAATCACAATGAGAGGAATTCTAAGGTCACTCAGATAGAGTGCTAACCCTAGGGAGTTGTTGCTGGTAACATAAAAATTTAAATTGTACAAGAAGTAAGATGGTGGCTACCATCAGTTCCTGTACTCCTTTATATAAATCTGTTTCCAACTAATCCCATCAGACCAATGGAGTCAGATGTCTAATATCTGCAGGCCACAGACATTATTTCTTAAAGAAAGGAATGCTGGGCTTGGACTGTTGCCAATACAACAAGCAAAACTCTAGAGGGCTGTAGTTAGGATTGTAGAACACTGAACCACTCTGGATCTAGTCCAGAACTTAATTCCAACTCTGGAAGTAGTAAGTAAGAATACAATTTTAGGGCTTCCGTGGGGGCACAAAGAGTTAAGTCTCAGCATTATGAAGCTATCGGAAGTCACTGAGGCACGGGTTCGAGATGGCCCACAAGGCGCAACAGACCTCTGCCGTCTCACCCACTGCCCCCCTTAGCAGTGTCTTTCAGTCAAACTGCCTGTTCTGCTTCCCACTGTCTCTGGTGAATCCTCTCACCACCCCCACGCCTCTGGCCTACACCCCTGCTCTTGTATGTATAAATAAGTAAAATAAATCTAAAAAAAAAAAATAGAATCTAAAGCAGAATTAAAGTCTTCTGAAGTAAAGGAGAGAAAAGTTATTTCCTTTATGAACTGTTCAACAATCTTAAATAGAATTATTTACTGAGACCAGTCCTACAGCAGCAGATAGTCAATTCCAAATGCATAAACAGTCAGCAAAAGTCTCTTAATGCCCTCTGGACATATGCTTCCCTAGTATAATAACCAATAAATTCTCGCGGGACTCGGCAAAAACCATAAGCCTTATGAAGGATGCAGATATTAGAAGACAAGTCTAGCTAATTATATCTAAATCAGAATTTCAGATTTAATATTGGTAAAATGCTTGAAAATTTTTTACAGTGATTAGGTTAAAAAACTAGTAAGCAATAATACTGAAGTACTTAACATGAAGACATATGTAAAATATTAAAAGATGAATCCAAGTATAGATTACCTTATAAAACATTCTGTCACCAAAGCGTAACATCTCAGCAAAGGCATTGAGCCAGCAGTGCAAAAAGGCAAAAAAGGTAAGGAACAAGATCAGTGCACCTAAAAAATAAGATAAAAAAATAGAAGTTTTTGCAAATACCAAGTTCACATAACAAGCAGTTAATTATATGTCATTATTTGCTTAGGTGAAATTACTTTTGTAAAGTAAAAGTTATTATTCTAGCTTACTCATTTCAGAGATGATATGATGTTCTTTTGACAACTAATTTTACAAAGCAGTAACTTACTTCCAAGTGGATTTCACAGATGACAAGTAACCAAGATTGTTTTTAGCAGAAATGCTAACATCTAAGGGTTAAGTTGGTTTCTAAAGTTCTTTTTTTTTTTTTAAACATATCTGTATTTTTTTTTGAAAGATTTATTTATTTGTTTATACAAGCATTGGGTACAGTCAGAAGCGCGGGAGGGTGAGAGAATTCACCAGAGCCAGGGCGGGGAGCAGAGCAGGCAGAAGGACCGAAGTACACTGCTGAGGGGAGCAGCGGATGGCAGGAGAGGTCTGCGCACCATGTGGGACCCTCCTCCGGTGGCCGGGGAGCAGCCGGGGATCGAACCGGCGCAGCACAGGCTGTGTGCAGGTTCGCAACCCAGCGCTCAACCGCTGTGCCACCGGAGAGGCCCCGGTTTCTAAAGTTCTTTAAAAATCTGTCCCCCTGGGCCTCCACTGGTGGCGCATGCAGTTGAGAGTAGTGCTGTGAAGCTGTCCGCAGCCTCTGCATCGTCAGTTCGACCCTGGCTGGCCAGCAAGTGTCCCACATGGTGTGGCAGACCTCTCCCACTACTCCCCTCAGCAGTGTATTTTGTCAGTCTGCCTGTTCTGTTTCCCTCTCTGTCTCTGGTGAATCCTCTCACCCTCCCACGCATCTGGCCTGTACCCCGGTTCGTGTATAAATAAATAAATCTTTAAAAAAAATAAAATCTGTCCCCCAAGCATTCTTCTAAATCAGCTCTATAGAACTTGGGGAGAATTTTCCTGTCCCTCTCTCCCCTGATGTATCTGGCAATTCTGGAGACATTTTTGGTCATCCCAGCACAACGGGTGGGGATTGTACCACTGGTATCTAGTTATAAAAGGCCAAGATATTGCTAAATATCCTGCAATGTATAAAACAGCATCCTCAAACAAAATCATCCAGCCCAAATGTCAATAGTGACATGATAACTTATGTTCAACTCTCCTCCCAGGACTGTAAACATCTCCCACAACTGCTTTTGCCATTCCATAACATCCTGTGTCTTTGCATCCATACCTCTCCTAGGAAGGACCATTCTACTACTTCTGTGCCAAGCGAACAATTACCTATTTTATAATAACCAATGCTAACTGGCATGTCTAATATAAAATAAAGTTCAGGGCCTCCCTGGTGGCGCAAGGGGTTAAGACACAACCTATGAAGCAGTCCGCAGCTTCTGCAGCAGGAGTTCAATCCCCAGCCTGCCAGTGAGCTACCCACATGGCGCAGCAGACCTCTCCTGACTCGCCTGCTGCTCCCCTCAGCAGTGTATTTCAGTCACTCTGCCTATTCTGTTCCCCACTCTGTCTATGGTGAATCCTCTCATCCCCTCCCCACACCTCTGGCCTGTACCCCAGTTCTTGTATACATAAATAAATCTTTAAAAATAAAATAAAGATCATCATCCTTGTGCTTATCTATTTATTATACTATATTGTGAAGTACCCTTTACATATCCACACCTTTCAGTCACTTCTTTATTCAAAAAATACTCATAAAGCATCTGCCAGTCAACGTGGGAGAGACTGACTGGCTATATGCCAGTCCTTGATGTCTAGGAATTTGCAGCCTAATGAGAAAGACACACAGTACATAATATATATCTCATTATAACAACAGATAAAAAGAATTTATTAGAGTAAATCTAGGTGTGTGGGGGAGGGAGAGGAGAAGGGGCAATAAGGAGAGTTATTTGAAGTCTGGGGACTAGAAAAAGAAGAGAAAGGATGACAGAAAAACATTACCAACATTTATTGGGCAGGGGAAAAAGAAAAGAGTAAGTAAAGGAAACTGTAAGTATAATTAAAGAACAACCTCTAAAGTCCAATTCTTAGATCTCTAGAAATGAATGAAGCTAGGAGGCTGAGGTGTGGCTAGAAAAACAGGAAGAGAATAACCAAAGTGACCAGAGAGATTTCAAAATGTGTTCAACAACATCTAATGCTTCATGGAAATCAAACAAGAATAAGGTCTAAACAATCTACTATAATTACAATCTAGGGGTTACTAGTGATTTTAGCAAAGGTCATTTCCATGAACTGGAGCAAGATTACAGTGACGTTAATAGTGAACAGAAAATAAAAGATAATTATCCACAAGTCAGCAAAAGCAAAACTTGACTGAAAGGCAGAGCAATGGACAGAAGGGCCTAAGTGGAAATAGGTGGAGATGAGTTTATAGTAAAAAGCAGATAAATCAACAGTGCTCATACACAACCACTTTCTATTTCCCTTGCAACTTTATGAATGGACAAATTAAGTAGTACCCATGTTACCTGGCAAGATGGAGTTAAATATGCACAGCACCAGAACACGAGCACTGAAAGGCTCCTGTTTGATATTCCGAAACAAGGGGGCGCAGAGCCTTTCAAAGATGTAGTACACGTAAAAAAAGCAACCAAAAACCTGAAACATAAAGATACAATAATGATGGTTTAATAAGATAAGTCGGAGGATGATTTTTTTTTTTTCAAAAGAAAATACAGGTGACCCTTAATACATTCCATTTATCATTAGTATATTAGATTGCCAGCCTGTAATCCTTCTGAGTTATTACTCAAGCATAGTTTCTATCACTCTTTCCCCAACAAAATGACAATTTCCCTTTACCAAATGATGACTTTTAAAAGATCAGAGCCTTGGAAACTTTTTCCTGCTATATGAAATCCATAACAAAGAACTTATTTCATAAATGGGTCGAGCCAAGAATTTAAAATGGGATCATGTGGGATTTACAATTTTGAACAGGGGTTTGGGGGTGGTTGGAGGTGATGGGGGTGGTTCAGATATCTCTCACACACATGAGCTCACACACACATACACACAAGCAAAAAAAAAAAAAAAAAAACAGGAGGGGAGGAAAATTAAGATGAATGCTTACTGAAATAATCAAATTAAATTCTTCAGTTGAATAAAAGTATTTCTGATGTTGGCAACTGAATATCATTTACTGTACTGAGAATAGTTTAAAAGACTTCATCAAGAGTTCTAACAGTTTCCAGTAGACATGAATTTACCAATAATTAAATTATTATTATAGATGAGAATCCCTTTTTCACCAATCAACAAACCTTAGGTAGTTAAAAAAATTTACCTGTGCAAACTGCATAGCAACATAACCCCATCTAACAGTAGGAGTCCTAAAAAGGAAGAAGCAAAATATATTTTCTAACTAAAGTAAATAATTGAACTTTAAGATCCTCACAATATTCTCCCACATAGGACATCATTTTGGTATATGAAATATTTGTATAATTCTGTCAAGAATTACTGTAATCAAATTGGATTGCTAGAATCACCAACCATGGTGGTCCCATGCCAATGAGAAAATTAAAACTAATTCTAAATGCTCCACAGCCTAGTAAGAACTGGCCCCTGTTCATCTAACCCACCTCACTCAGGCCATACTTCTGCAGCTCACCACATACTGTCATTACCTGGGATAGCTGTCACGGTAGATGAGGGTAGGAGCGAACAAGAAGTACAAGTACTGGTTGACTGTGGGTACTGGAACAGTACCTGGAAAAGAAAAGCTATGCTTAGCATCAGGGGTGTCTAATTTATGTCAGCAAAACTAAATGGGGAAGATAAAGAAGCACAAAATAGGGAAGAATAAGAAACTACCTCGTTTATTTAGCTCATGCTACTTCTTCCTGATATCCCAAAGAGACTTCTTAGTCTTACATTAATTGAAAATTATCAATTCCTCTAAACTAAGCTATTCCTAAAAAGATTAGGCTCACAGGTGTGTAAGATGTCTATTAATAGTTCATAAAAATAACAGATGAGCCTGATCATCAATGTATTAAAATTCTAAGTACAGGGCCTCCCCTGGTGGCGCAGGCGGTTGAGAGCCATGCTGTGAAGCTGTCGCAGCCTCTGCAGTGCCGGTTTGATCCCGGCCAACTGGCAAGGGTCCCACATGGCACAGCAGACCTCTCCTGTTGCGCCCGCTGCTCTCCTCAGCAGTGTATTTCGTCAGTCTGCCTGTTCTGTTCCCCACTCTATCTCTGGTGAATCCTCTCACCCTCCTGCACATCTGGCCTGTACCCCAGTTCTTATATAAATAAATAAATAAATCTTTTAAAAAATAAAATAAAAAAAAGAATGAGTATTTTTAAAAAAATTCTAAGTACAAAAGCAAAATAAAAATAAGATTGTCTTCCAAATCAATGCAGGTCCTATATATATAGAATTGAACATAATATCTACATAATACATCATCCAGGAAACACCAATGGTTGAAATACCCTATTGATAATAATCCTTTGACCTAATGGAATTACATACTTGATTTCTCTTTAGTTGCAGCTAGTACACGAGGCACATTCTCTCTGACAAAAGAATGGGCCTTCATTATGAAACGAATCTGCAAAGGGAGGGGAAAAGAAGATGAATTTTCTGTTATTATCTTTTCTCCTATAGGAAACCCCAGAACAGCACTAGATTATAGTCACACACAGAATTTCTTAATTTGCATATACCAAGTACACTTTTATGCAATAAAACCAATGAAAAACCAACTCTAAAGATAGACAATGTTCTGCAGCACCTAACAGCACTATTTCAGGTACATATAAGGGATTAAAATTCTGTTGAAAAAGCCTCCTGAACAGTCCTTTCCATTAGTCAAATAGCACATTATAGGACAGCCAACAATGTCAGAGAAGTCTGAAGGGTGTATAAACAAATTTAAATAGATCCTTTCTTTTTATGAAAAAGCTTGCATGGCAAAACAATGAATCTGATACTTTTAAAGTGGAATTTTATATTTTCTAATTTGGATGCATTTTATAAAAAATTGCTCATAACAAAATTCATATTACTCTGAACAGTACAATAATTTCAGTTACCAAGAACTGAAGACCACTGAAGTTAGAACAAATTTTAAGAGAAGAGATAGTCAAGTTTAACACTTTAACTTTACAGATAATGGCATGATATGAAAATTTATCCAACTAATCCAACAAAATGACAGTATTTTGTTATTGCTATTATATTATTATTTTAACCAAGTAGAACATAATTTACCTGCTCAAAATCTTACCTGTTCCAGTATAACAAGGAACCGGGAAGCTGGAAAGAGTTTATATGCTAGCAAAACATATGCTGGTCCAAAACCTAGAATTCCAATCTGGAAGACCATGAAAAGCAGGCCATGGATGAAAGAATGGATCACTGGATGAGAACTCCTACTGTAGCGTCTGGCCCAATGTTGAAAGAGGAAATAGGGAATTGAAAGTGTAGACAAGAACATGGCCCACCATATCCAGATAGCAATATTAAGTCTGCCAAAAGCATAAGCCATAACATTGAACTCTAGTACCAGCCTGAGAAGAAAAAGCAGAGAAAAAACACATAAAAGTGAATTTTAATATACACTGATTTATATAATTATAATTAATTAAAAACTTTCAGACCCAAAACTTTCAACCTTAAGAAACAAAACATGAATATCTTGAGATCACAGATCTAAGAGTTGTGCTAGACAGAGAACTGCTTCTAAGCCTCTGCTTCACTGAAAGTGATTTTTCTAAAAGCCCTAAGATAATACAGTTTTTACAATATAAGATACCTGAGATAACGTAAAATAAGACTTTGAACTTCTCTAAGATTTGATTCTCACAATAAATTTAAACTCCAAAATATTCTATGATAAACATTTAAATTATTCAAATAGTTATCAGAGTCATGGACAAGATACGATTTATCATAACAAAATAGATACAATGAAAAAATCTAATACACTACTATATCACCTCAAATTAAGCAAATAATTCAACGTATAATTATCACACTGTCATTTGTAAAGTTATAATTTTCTTCTTATATTAAAGAGATCACATTTAGCAAAAGTTAAATTCAATTAAGCTACTTATTTTTATTTTTCATAATTATATTAATTTCCTTACATTGTTACTCATTTTTGTACAATATTTGATTTCCAAGTAGAACTTCATACTCAAATTAACTTCTTTGAGATTTTCTGAAGCAAATTTAATCAAATCACCCTTGACCCAAATTTAAATAGGATGGGAACCACCAACATCTCATGCAACAACTAACCAAACACCCTCTTTCTTATTTACCTTCCTTCATCAATATAATCTACCGCAAGTGTGCTGAGGATAAAGAGAATGAGGAGGGCAATAAACATGTGATAAATTGTTCTGATGTGGTCCACCTCAAACAGCTCACTGTAAATGTAATTCAAAAAGATAAAATTAATAATCTATATTTAATTTTAAACACCATCTAGTAAAGATGTTAATGCATCCTCCAAACACACTTCAGACAATCACAGAACATTCAACACCTGAGCCTAGGACAAAGCTCTTTCCAATAATGTGATACTGCTGAATAGAAAACAGCACAGATACAGCAAACCCTTAAATGGTGTTCGTCTTGAACACCTACCTCCTAAAAGCGAGCAGCAGTTGTTATTCTAAGTAAGCAAAAAATCTTTTATCAAAAACAGTGAACACAGAAACCAGTTCAAATGCTAAGATGTTTTTCTCATTCTATTGTTACATTCCACTCTCTATTATCTGACTAATATATAGAGTACCATGTATTCCTAAGACGTTAAGATTCACAAGTACTCCCATCTCTACAAGGCTAATAAGGGTGATAACCAACTACCACCCTACACTTCTATGAACAACCATTTACAAAAGTTTTACTTTACCCTATCCCTCACTGATCTTTGTACTTGAGTCAGACTTGGCTACTTTTTCTAAATAAGTAATTTTATATCTGAGTAAAAAGTGTCTTAGTTTAGTTTTTTAAAAGAGATATGGCAGGTTTATTAGGAAAAGTAGAAAAAGAAAAGCACCTGCATAGTCACAAGTGGGCAGGAGAGCGGCCTCTTTAAAGTGTTTATTTATTTTAATTTTTTTTAGATTTATTTTTATTTATTTATGCATACAAGAACTGGGGTGGAGGCCAGAGGAGTTGGGAAGGGAGGCGTGAGAAGATTCATCAGAGACAGAGCAAGGAACAGAACAGAAACATAACAGTGTACTCAAATACACTGCTAAGGGGAGCTGTGGGAGAGACAGGAGAGGTCCGCTGCGCCATGTGCATTAGCTTCCCTGGCAGGGGACAGAAGTCAGGCCATAGCAGCAATAGCATGCTAGCACCCTCTTTGAAGTGTTTTAAAGTCTAGGGCCTCCCCGGTGGCGCGGGGGAGGGTAGGGGTCCCACATGGCGCGCAGACCTCTCCTGCGGCCAGCTGCTCCCCTCAGCAGTGTACTTTGTTGGTTTGCCTGTTCTGCTTTCCGCTCTGGCTCTAGTGAATTCTCTCACCCTCCTGCGTTTCTGATTATACCCAGTGCTTGTATAATAAATAAAATAAATCTTTAAAAAAAATAGTCTATTTTAATTTTCCCCAACTCCCCCATCACTAAAATCTTAATTATAATGTCCAAAATAATAGTTTTATTTTCCCTTTTTATGTGAAAGGCCTGCATTTCTACTATATATAAATTTTAAAAGATAAGTTTCTTCTAACAGTGTAGGAAAAACACTCAAATATTTTAAATTACATATCAGAAAACTCTGGCTTTCTCAAACTTTAGTATATACAAAACAGACTTTTAGAAAGGGAAATTTGATAACCATAAGATGATTTTTAAAATGAGCATATTAGCAGGAATACTCTAATAAAATACCAACTCAGCATTGCAAAAGTAATATCCATTACTAATCCAAAGTACCTTTGATTTTCAGTTCACAAATAAAGCCACTACAATTAACTTACACTAATTTTTTTCCCTGAAATACACCCAATCAGGGTTCTAAAATAAATCTGAGAAAACTATCACTTCTCTTAGCTGGCTAAAAAGAAAAATAATCCGTATATAAAGAAGGCAGCAACACCAAAATTCTCTTGAAGTGATTTGCCTATTAGAATCTAGCTCTCTGCATAATCAGTTATCTAAAGGAGTTTATCAGAGGACAGATAACCATTCCTATTGCAACTCCTACTTTGAAACTACATACAGAACCAGAGAATAATCTGAAAGGAGCAGAAGACAGCAAATGCACAAAAAGTAGTCTCAAAACTAATGATTTATAGGAATACAGAACTTGTTAAACATTCATAGGTTGAGCAGTGGTTCCATCAATCAAATTTATTTTATATTTATTTATTTTTAACTCAAGCTAATAATTAACAAAACCAAAATAAAATACTCACTCTAAAAGAGATCGTCTTGTAATAAATATCTTTCCTTGTTCTGGAGGTGCTCTCAGATCTCTGGGAGAAGCAAAAAAATAAAAAAAATAAGTACTTAAAGTGCTATAAGAAATTTAAACCTAAGGATAAAAGAACATTAACAACCACAACATGTAACGTTAATTTTTTTAAAGATTTATTTATTTATGCATACAAGAACTGGGCTACAGGCCAGAGGTACGAGGAGTGAGAAGATTCAGAGACAAAGTGGAGAACAAAACAGGCAGATTGACTGAAATACCCTGCTGAGGGGAACAGTGGGCAAAACAGTAGAGAGCTGCTGTGCTATGTGGGTCAGCTCCTGGCTGGGGATTGAACTTGTGCTGCAGTTCAGCTTCATAGTGCTGAGGCTTAATCCCCTGGGCCAGCAGGGAGGCCCCTGTAACATTAATTGTCTTCTCACTGTGACACAGGTATACTGAAGGGTTTTTATATCTTATCTCAATCCTTCTGAACAATGCTGATGTGGCACATGCACATCTGGTTAGAACGGAAGAGATGGCGGCACACCAAATCTGAGAAGCACTCAAAAGGGCCCTGTAGCTCAGCCTCTACGCACATGCATTACAGACATCAGTAGGGTCAGGGACAGGCCTCCAGCTACACTTTACTCCAGTTAACAAACTGTATTATTGGTCTATCCTCCAAAACTGCACTAATGTTTCAGATACCCTCCTAATGGGTCAACAGACTTCCACAATCCCCCACACAGCCTCTGAGTCTTAAAGGTTGCCTCCCTTATTATAAATTTCAAATTTTATAAATAATTTTAAAAATTATAAATTTCGTAAAGATCAAATATTAACATGTAACATTTATCACATTTTTTAGAGCTTTTTGCAGTACCACCAGTACTTTGGCTGACTATTTCTGGTCAAAACTGTCCAGAAGAACAGGACACTGACAGAGAGCACGAGGCATAAAATTAAGGAGAGCAGAGTGGCAAATTAGCACACTTGGCCTTTGATTGCCTTCCTCTACTGTTCTAGATGGCCAACCAGTTAAAATCGATATACTAATCATAAAATTACAAGTATATATAAAATACAAGAGAGAGACAAGACTAATGATGTGGTACAGAACATGGGCCCTGGATTCTAGGTTCAATTCCTGCTATATTATGTTGGATATTTACCAGCTTTGTGCTTCAGTTTCCCAATCTGTAACAATATTGACTTCCTTTGGTCATTTTTTTTTTTCCATTGTGTTATTTTTTGTTATTGTTGAGTTAATGCTGGCTTACATACAAGCCGTGTATGTTTAGGAGGTACATGTTCATATTGTTTCCATTTAAACGCAGAGTACTCCAGTACTTTACATAGTATTGATTCGACTGTTTTATTGGTCAGATATGCATATTTGTTACAATCTACATAAAGAAGGCCACCCTTCAAGAAATTAAGTAATTTGCCTAGGGTAACACAAGGCTACTAAAAAATGGTGCTAGGGTGTGAGTTTAGACATTTTACTGCAATCCACATTCTGGTCATCTATACCATAAATGTTTGCATTAAAAATTTAATTCTCATACTTACTTAGCTCTATGGTTTTTCTCTCCTTCAAGAACTGAAAAGCTTGTGAGAGCACACCCACCATTATCTAATGATGTTGATTTTTCAATGAGATTGGTCACAAAATCATCAAAGTGATTGCCAACTTCCTTCATAAAATATGGCTTCAATTCCTAGAGGTAAGTGAAAAAACATTAGGAACAAACACATACTTGTGGATTATGAACATTTTTTAAAGGGTTCCTTTAAACAGAGCTAAATTAAACAAAATCCATATTAAGTGTGTGCAAAGGAGTAAAAAGAGAAAAACAAACTTGATAGTTGACCTGCAGTTTCAGAAATGGCTACTGAAAAACAACAGAATGATTTGGGTATTGTTAAAAATCTATAGTCTGGGGCCTCCCTGGTGACACAAGGGGTTAAGCACAGCACTGTGAAGCTATTCACAGCCACTGCAACACAAGTTCGATCCCTGGCCAGGGAGGGACCCACATGGCACAGCAGGCCAGGGAGGTGACACACATGGCACTGCTCTTCTCAGCAGTATACTTCAGTCAGTCTGCTATTCTGTTCCCCACTCTGTCTCTGGTGAGTCCTCTTACCCCCCACATATCTGACCTATATCCCAGTTCTTGTGTGCACAAATAAATAAATCCTTAAAAAAAAATCTATACCCTTCTGTGCAATAATCAAAGTATTCAGCTACTTCTACAAATGATGTAAAAAAAAAAAAAACAGAGCATAAGTGATTAAAATACGACTATTTTCTCTTCAAATTTTTATCTAGAAAACAAACGAATTTATATATCACCATTATATAAATTTAAGTCCCTTCCTTCTCAAGCAATCCCTTCATCCCCACGTTCCCTCTGTTTGTATTTTGGATCGTGTCATTTCTGTATGACACCAACATTTACATGATGTTTATTCCTACCTCTATAGCTATGTATTTATCTAATTATAATACCACACTTCATAAGGCTATTATGTACTACTCCACACTACTTTTTTTTCCATACTATTTTTACCATCTTAAAACTTACACATCCATGAATTTTGAAAAGTAGGAAGTAAACAAGTATTTATTCAGATTACAATTACTGTGGATGCTCAAATTATAAATGTGGGTATTTTTTTAATTGACAGGACTCACCTACATTAAGGAGAACAATGTATTATTTACTGATATTTCAAGGAAATGATTCTTTTTGTCTTCTAATTAAATTATTTAAGTTGAATTAAAATTATTAAAATTATTAAATTATTTAATTAAAATGTGTGAAGTAGCATTTTTCTAGGTTTTATTATGCAAAGAGTTTGGCCAAGTTCTTTAAAAATAAAGCTTGGGGCCTCCCCTGGTGGCGCAGGCGGTTGCTGTCCGCAGCCTCTGCAGCACCGGTTAGATCCCGGCCAGCCGGCAGGGTCCCACATAAGAAGCAGACCTCTCCTTCCTCGCCCGCTGCTCCCCTCGGCAGTGCATTTCATCAGTCTGCCTGTTCTGCTCCCCACTCTGTCTCTGGTGAATCCTCTCACCCTCCCGCACATCTGGTCTGTACCCCGGTTCTTGTATAAATAAATCTTTAAAAAAAAATAAAAATAAAACTTAATAATATCAACATACCTAACTGAACTATATGAAGGCTTTTCAAACTGCTGTCTCTCAGAGTTCCCATATGTCTTGTAGGTCCTGGACAATGAGACTATACTAAGATCCTAGCTTTCACAAGATAGCAGATGAAGTGGAAAATACAAGATGTACCCATAAAACCAAAACATGGTAGACCACCTAAAAGGATCACCTGAACAATACAACCATCAATGAAAGCTCAAAGAACATATAAGCACTTAAACAAAATAGTAAACAGAGCAAGCAAGGATGAGAATGCAACTGGGTGATCCCCAGAAGAAGGGGCAGTTCCAGGTTCCCTGCCCCACCCAAGGGAGGGAGAAGCTGAGCAGGGAGAACAAGCTGGAGAAGAGACCAAACAAAGAAAGGAAGAAAGATGGAAATCAAGACAGAGACCTGGAGGAGGCACATGGAGCAGAGAGACATGTGAAGAAACTGCGCTTGCTTCTTGGTCTTGGATTGCTTGAAACAGATGTGGGTGAGAGACCCGTGCAGAGGTTAACAATGGCAGCTTTTGTCTTGATTTTGCTCCTTTTGTCCCAGATGTGTTGGGCCCCTTCTGTCCCTTTCCTATGGGTCCCCACTAAAAGGTGCCTTAGACTTCTGGCAGGCTTTTGGGCCTCAGTGGCCCTGCTTGGCCGGGCATTTACCCACAAGGAGAGGGGTACTTTGTGTGCTTATTTTGGAGACTATAGTCCTTGTCTTGTCTTTGTTGCACACTAATTGTATTAAAAGTCCATTTCCATTAAAGGTCTTACACACTAAAGTAGATCTGTCTTGATATGGTAGATGGCAGAAACTATTTAAAGCAGGCAGGCTTGGGGGTTCTGGGGTGCCCCTCTCCCTGCCCTGTAACAAGATGATTGAAAACATCTTTTTTGAGCTGGCAATTTAGCTGAAAGCTCAAAGGATCAGTAGGACTTAATATCAAATAAAAAGTGGAAGGAGACAACGTGATGAAAAGCAGAGAGGTAGCAAAGTATTAGCCAAAACAGAAAATGTGAACAATTTAGGTTCATTTTAAGGTCAAAATATAGAAGGTGGATGTTTCTTAGAAAAAAGAATGAAGAGTTTTCATAAACATTTTTTTCATGTTAAAGTCATCTAATACAATTTTATTTAGTTCCTTTTACTTGTTTCATTTCAATCACATGCCCACCTTAATTTAGAAAATGTGTAAGTAGATCCATACCCAACCAAAAATAAAATCAAAGAAAGGTGGAACTGATCAATTGTGATTTTTTTCCAGTCACAAACATGTTGTCCTGGGGAAAAACACACTAAAAAGAAGAAAGAATTCTTTCATTCTAGTAAGTGCTAGATACAGTTCTGAGCACTGTTCTAGGCACTGGTTATACAACAATAAACAAAACCAAGTCCCTGTGCCCATGGAACTTCAAATTCAAGTGGGGGCAGACAGGATAAATAATATGCCAAATGGTCTTATAATATGGAGAGAAATAAAACAGGGATGAAGACATGGTATTGTGTGTGTGAGGTCAGGGAAAGCCTCCCAGGTTAGATGACATTGAGCAGATTTGAAGAAAGTGAGAGGGCGAGTTAAAGGGTATCTTTAGGAAAAGTACCAGAAAGAAAGAAACATAAATATAAAAATCCCTGAGATAGAGACACCCTTGGCATGTTTGAGAAATACCAACAAAGTGGGAGGTCAGAGATGAAGCAAAAGAGTGATAAGAGTTAAGGTCAGAAAAGAAAAGGGGGTGGAGGGATGGGGACTCAACCCTATAAAATCTTAACATTCTGACCCCCAGCTCATTAATCAGTCTATTCAAATCTTACTCAATATTGAAAAAAGCTAGAAACTTAAGAGGTGGCAAAGGGAGTCAAACCATTTCTTGCAGCTTGCATTCCCAATACTAGGGAACCAGACCCCTTCCCAATTAAATACTGGGCTAAGCAGACCAGAAGCATGAAAATAAAACATCACTAATGTAACACAAATGTCAGTAAAAGCTGCTAGAATCGGGTCCTAATCCAACTCAAGTTCAACAGAGTAATCAAGTTCTTATGGCACAAGCTCTGGTGCCTTATCCACTACTTGGCCATATATTTCAAAGCACTTGTAACTTCCAGTCCTGTCATAAGAAAAACAGCAGCAATGTCGTTACTCTCACCACCTTATCAATTGTACCCTTTTCTTATCTCCCTCCTCCCACTTTTCCCCACACTCCAAACTCCTGCCTTTTCTTCTTTTCCAGCCAGTTCACAAATAAGGGTACCCCTGTTGATCCCTCCTAGCTATCCAATCTCAGGGACCAAACAGATTTTGACGAGTATATACTTCTATTATTCAGCTCCTATGGTGTGCAACAGGATACACAGAGTCCTGTTCTTATTGAACTCACTGTCTATGGATGAGGAAGGAAATAAATTATGAATGGTGCAGTAAATGCCATGAAGAACGTTCAGTGTGACAGTACAGAGAAAATAAAAGAAAAATCACAGGCACCTCAATGGTGTGAGGGCTAATAAAAGGCAATAACAGATGGCAAGTCTCCTTGTAACTTTCTTTCACAACCCCCACCGCTCCCCACTACCACCTATGACCCCAACATCTGACACTTCAGTCAGTGCAGAATACTTCTTCAGTATGCTGAGCCCAAAAAGCTTCCTATTTTTAATATGATTAATGCATGTCTTCTTTTTCTTTGCACTAAAATTTATATGTTGGAAAAACGGTACATTCAGGAATTCATACTTGAGCCAGTAAGATACTAAGGAAAAAGATTAAAGATATCTAGTGCTAATACTAATGTAGTAAAGAGAGAAATATGAACTTTCAAGCAGGCAGAGCTGGGTTCAAACTGTGCCTCCTCCACTTAGGCATCATCTACGAAGTTACTCAACACTTATGTGCAAAACTGAGATGGATAACATCTACCTTGTTAACCTGTTGTGGGAACTTTTAAAAGCCCCAAAAACAAAACCAAACACACCCTGAAAAACTTGCACAGCACAGTCCTTGAGAGAGTTATCATTCTACAGATTTGTTGCATTAACCTCTCTCCTCTTAGAGCTAATTTATGAAGGAAAAAACAACAAAGCAATGTACAATAAAAACTGAAACAAGTAAATTTTATCATTTAGTGCTACTACTCTTAAAAGATACTTTTGTTTTTTTTTAAGATTTTATTTATTTATGCATACAAGAACTGGGGTTAGGCCAGAGGTGGGGGGGGGGAGGTGAGAGGAGACAGAGTGGGGAATAGAACAGGCAAATGTACTAAAATACACCACTGAGGGGAGCAGCTGGTGGGACAGAAGAGGTCTGTTGCGCCATGTGGGTTAGCTCCTTGGCCAGGGATCAAACTCATGCTGCAGTGGCTGGCGATAGCTTTATAGTGCTGTGTCTTTAACCCCTGAGCGACTAGGGAGGCCTGATACTTTTAATTTAAATCCACTACATTCCTCTCATATATAACATTATACTAACTAGATGCCTAATGGGCATTTCTTACAGCCTTTCTCCTCTGTCTCCAAAGAATTAAAGTTAATAGAAGCTACTGCCACTGGGACACAAGGAAG